AACGAAAGTGGTTAGAGAGCTGGTAAGCAGGTAGCACATGTCTGTAATCCTAGTGATTCAGGAGGCTGACATCCAAGGATTGTGATTTGAAGCCAGCTCATATAGGAAAGTTCATGAGACTCATCTGCAATTAACCAGTGAAACACCAAAAGTAGAGCTGTGGCTCAAGTGGTAGAGCATAAACCTTGAATGAAAATGCTAAGGGACAGCATGCAAGCCCTGAAAGTTTAATCCTCAGTACAAGCAAACCAAGAATAAGAACAACAAGAAGCTGTTGAAATACCCCATCTGGACAAGCCCAAACTCCATATATGTGTCCTTTCTGCAAATTCCTCAGTACGATCACTTACTATATTTCTGACGCTAGTCTAAGCAGTAAGTCAGGAATATCCACCTGAGAGTGTAATGAAAAAAAAAGAAATGAATGCTTGCCTTTGGTTTCATTTGATTGTTTCTCAGAAGCTCTACATAATACTTTTCTAGTTCATTTCTCTACTTTCCAAACATGGGATTGTGCAGTTGGAAGAGAAAGAGAGAGAGAGAGACAGACAGACAGACAGACAAACAGAGACAGAGCTGAGCAAAGGTAGGTAGGAATACATGCAGACTGTATTATATTCTTATTGTACAGGTGGGAACAACCTCAGAGCTGACAAAACTGACCTTTTGAATCCCTTGATTTAAAAATACCTTAGTCTGATTTTATAAAATATGACTGGAATCTTGGTAAGGTAGAAATGATGACCCTTTTCCCCAAAATAAGATTTCTGAGAAAATGCAAACAACAACAACAAATGACACAAACCAAAAAAAGAATCTAAGTCTTTTGAAATTAACATTTGGGAAACAAGGCTTTTTTGTTCCTTTGTAAGCTAGAAAGGGGGAAGGCTCCCAAAATCCTCTTCTAGGATATGCCCTGAAGGACCTAACTCTCTTCTACTAGATCTCACTTCCTAAACTTTCTAGCACTTCCCAGTAGTGCCACAGGCTGGGATGTAGGTCTTTATTTACTACATGGGCCTCTGAGGGACATTTAAGATCTGAAATATAGCACTAACTAAAACTCTGGAGAACAAGAGAAAGTTAGAAAAGACTCATTAAGGTAGTGCTGTAGAACAGCAAGTGTTGAGGAGGGAAAGTGACAGACATTGTTTTTCTTAATGGAAAGTACAGATTGTAGTTGTGCAGGGTTAACCAGGAATGCAACTGACACTTCCTAAGAGAGACTGAGTATATTTCATTCAAAGATCAGCCTCAGTTAAAGAGTAGTAAAAGTGAAAGCACAGCACTTTTCTGAAAAGAACGTGAATACAGGGAATTGTTTTGCATGTTCGATTCTTTCAATACTCCCATCTCCCTAGGAACTGGTACAGGATTTGGACTAATCATGTCAGTTACAGTACCCTAAACTGTGATCTTACTTCACTGGGGATGTCACTCTAAAGGGACAAAAGAGTCTAACAACAGTGGCTCTCACCTGTAATCATAACTACTCAGGAAGTAGAGATTTGAGGATTGCAGTTCAAAAGCACCCCATGCAGGAAAGTCTATGAGACTCTAATCTCCAATTAACTACCATAAAAGGCAGAAGTAGAGTTGTAGATCAAGGGGTGGAGCGCAAAAGATCAGCACTCAAGCTCTGATTTTAACCAAGGACACTGGCACAGTAAATAATTAAGCAAGCATACAAACAAACAAGCGGGACCACAGAAATGTCAGGATAAAAATGGAATAAATTTTAACCTAAATAACATAGCAAGATGTTGCCTGGAAGATCCTGCTGTGATCTGTGATGAAGTAGATGATGAGGGATCACCAAGTCAAATCCAGCTCTCAGCCCACGAAATGGAAGGGAGGGGACAGTGGTAGCTTCCTAGGTACTGATGGAAGAAAACCAGAGCAAAGCATCCCAGCTCTTAGACTTTGAGAAAAGCATAGAATGACAGACAGATGGCCTGGAAGTAAAATGGGGTTTTCAGGAACTTTAGGAAGAGAAGATGATACAATAGTTTTTTTTCTTAATTAGTCACTAGATTATAAGCTACTAAAGAACACAGATACAAAGGAGCTTCCTGACAGAGTTGCAAAAAATTCATCCCAGCTTAAAAAAAAAAAAAAAAGCAGAAAAGCATTTGCTATTTTGAGTGCTTTGGTAAATAATATGGCTTCATTAAAAGGAGAATGAGAAAAACTAAGGAAGAGAAACAGCCTGCAGCCATGGTATTGGTCTTTTCCTCAGGAGATTAGAACATGAAGAAATGTTTCAGCAATCTGAAAGCAAGCCTGGTCTTTCTACAATTTCACTTCTGCCCCAAGGTTTAACAGGTAGAAAAACCGTATACCTCAGAGATGTAAAGTTTTGGATAGCCTCTTCTTATTTCCCACAAATTCCCTGGACAGCAGCAATGAGCTCAAATACTAGATACAAATGGATAAACTTGACTCTATTAAGTCAACCTATCTTTTGAGGACTTTGGGAATGGGCAAGATCTCTTATCTTAAAAATCGCAGGCTATCCCAAGTGATCATTCCCTTTCAATGTTTTTGAGCCATTTTATTTAAATCTTTGAATATGGGATGCCTGGTGGCAAATTGTGATTCTGGCCTCTTTAGAAGAGGCAGCTTCTTCTAATAGGCAGAGATAGAGATAAGTTGTAAATTAGGTACCTGGCAAAATGTGAAGTATCTCAGTGTTGGTTGCCATGTAATACAGTGGGAGGTATTAGGGATGGCTTTGAGAAGAAGAGTTAAACACAGGCTTGTGAGGTTGATTACATAAAGGGATAGGATATGGAGGTAGATGATGGCAGCAGGCCAAAATTGAGGGAAGATTAATGGACTTCTTCCTTCTCAGTCATCCCTCTTTATCCTTGGATCCTACATCTGCACAACTAATCAACATCAAATCAAAAAGATTTGAAAAATAATTGGGCCAGGTGCTGGTGGCTCACGCCTGTAATCCTAGCTACTCAGGAGGCTGAGATCTGAGAATCGCGGTTCAAAGCTAGCCCGGGCAGTAGAGACCGTGAGTCTCCTATCTCCAATAAACCACCAGAAAACCGGAAGTGGCGCTGTAGCTCAAGTGGTAGAGCGCTCGCCTTGAGCTGAAGAACTGAGGGACAGCGCCCAGACCCAGAGTTCAAGCCCCACGACTGACAAAAAAAAAAAAAGAAAAAGAATTGCAATGTTACTGAATACAAACAATTTTGTCTTGTAACTGAGTCCCATATAACAGTACAACAAATATTCATATAGCATCTACATTGTATTACATATTCTGAGTAGTCAAGAGATAATTTAAGGTATAAGAAAGGAGGTTCATAGATTCCATACAATTGTATGTGAAGGATACAAGCATCTATGGATGTTTTTATCTTTGTATGATTCTGAAACCAATTCCCTGTGAATGCCCACTGATGTCTATACTTGAGTTTTGTAGACTATGTTTAAACGCTTACTGTATTTAAGCATGACTTTCATCTCCAATAAGAATTGTTTCTCAAGTTAATCAAGAAATAAAAAATACATGTGACTTCCATCCTTATAACAACTGCAATGTTAGGTCTGCTTAGTTAAAAAGATTTTGCGGAAACTCCTTATAACTCTTTGTAATTGTCTGAGTCGGGCCAGGGACACGGCTCAGTAGTAGTAGAGTGCTTGGCTAGCCTTCATGAAGTCCTGGGTTCTACTCCCTGTACCACAAAACCAGAACAAATGTAAAACCAACCTACTAACCAACCAACCAAAAATGCTGTTTTAGCCAGGTGCCTGTAATCCTAGCTACTCAGGAAACTCAGATCTGAGGACAGAGGCTTAAAGCCAGCTCTGGCAAGCAAATTCATGAAACTCTGATCTCCAATTAATGAGTGAAAAAACCCCACAAAAAACAAAAAACAGAAGTGGAGGTATAGCTTAAGTGGTTGAGGGCCAGATTTGAGAGAAAAAATAAAGGTATGGGAGACTGTGAGGCCTTGAGTTCAAGCCCCAATTTTGCAAGTGGAATTATTTAGATAGAAGAACACTTTCAGGTGTTCAGGAAAAGCCCTCAGCTCCAGAGAAAATAATGTACCTGAGAAAATAATGTACATGATCAATACTGCATAGTTACATATGAGTCCAATAGGAGACTCAGCAGCAGCCAAGTGGACCTTTCCTTCCCCTGCTCTTCTCAAACCTGATAAGAGCAGAAAGTTAGAACCATGAGGAACATACAAATGGCTTTACAGAAATTGCTATCAAAATCTGTTTAAGCCATCTGTTTTTCTGGCTGTTTTCCTTCCCAGTGTTTTCTTTCATGCATTCTTTGCTAACAACAACAACAAAAATCTATTCTTACACAACCAAGATGTTATGACTAAAAATGCCAGAGGTATATATCCAGTTTATGAGAGAAATTGCTTTCTAAATAGGAGTTAGCTTTATCTTGTGTGGAGGAAAGGCGACATTTCTACAAATATTATAGCTGCGCTAAGAAAATAACCAAATACTTTCATTAAAAGAGTATGAGACAAGATTTGTATTTGTTCACGTAATTGAATTTAATGCTGCTGAAATTTGTCAGAAACGAAAGCTATTGAAGTTGAGACTATTTTTTACATAGAGGAAAATTGTTTAGGAAATTGTCTCTCAGACTCTATAGCAGGCCTTCTTACTGACCTTGAAAGGCTCAGGAGTCAATCACTGGATGAATTTACATATTGTCTAGTACCAAAAGGCTGAGAGCAATGTCAGTTCCTATGAGGAGGGTAGTTACTGGTTATGGAATGACCCTGATTACTATCTGTCTACCTATTCTGTATTTTTCACTTGTGATCTCTTGTTTAGATGACAATGATCTTGAAATGCAGCAGGCATGCAGTTTGTCACCCCTATATGGTCAAGTGGCTCACTACTTTATCTGTACACGTATGTGTTTCATTATCTTAGTAACTTCAGATTTCCCGTGACAGTTCTATCCCAAATTTAGATCTATTAATATTCCACCTTTGTCTGTCTCTCACCTTGGTTCACCTTGGTTGATGGACATATAAATCTCCCAAGAATTCTCCTCTGGTATGGCACCATGTGGTATAAGCAAACTCACCCCTAAGACAGAAAAAGCCAAGAGGTTATTTACAGATATTCCAATTATTTTGAGCATCTTATTTATGCCCACTACAAGGACCTTCTCAGGATAATTTGTGAAATAAGTGTTACAAAAATGAAAATACCAAAGATAATAACAGTGACATGGGAAGGAATATTTTCTACAAAGTATTAGTATTGGTGTTATTTTTAATAATTTTAATTTTCTTATAATTGTTTCATTTTCTTAAAACTTGGATGCTCTAAGACCAGACCTATCAAATATATCTAAGAATATAAGAGTTTATCAATGCAGCAGTTGATCTGTTCCAAAACTTAACATTTTTATTATTTTCTTTGTCTCTACTGATTTCCAGGAAAGGTATCTGAAATGATGGGTAACTGAGAACTTAGTAGCACAGAATGACCTAGAATTCACTAGGTCTGAATTCATGATCCTCCTGCCTCCTCATTGCCGTTATTACAGTTGTATACCACCGTGTTCACCTTAGAGTACTACATTTTCTCAAACAAAGTAGAGAAGGTAGCTTAGGACCCTCTTAGGTCATTAGGTAAATAATAGGTTTTAAACTTGCTACAAAGCATTAAGGGGATCTAACCACACTCATGTCAATATCAAATGTAAAAAACACAGTGCCTATTTCAGTGAGATATGTATAACAGAGAGGAAGAGCACGGAAAGCCACATCACGTGCATGTTAAATGTCCCATCTTACCATCGAATGCTGTGAAAAAAAGATTTAACTTTGGTCACAAGGGACATTAAGAGAGAGCTGAGATTCCCTTAATGTAACTTCTTGTTTATAAGAGGAAATGCAATAGAGACATTGGAAGATCTTTACAAAATAAAATCTCAGGGCACCCTCCTAGTTTGTGAATCATAGAGCTCTCACCATTTCTCCTTTCATTAATCACACAGAAAGCTTTCAGGTTGCTGACGATCATTTAAATCTAGAGATGGCAGGCTTTTCCCTTCTTCTATGAGCCTATTAACAGCTACATAGAGTCAAGGAATAGAAGGCTCATTGAAAAACAAGTTATTTGTGCCTCACACTTAGGAGCATTATTCAGCAACATGCTAGTTATCATCAGCATCTTATCTTTCAGTAGTGCCGAGATTGAGGCACATTTAAATCTTGCTCACAGCTTTTCAGCAAGGAGATCCATTTACATTGTGGACCTTCATGTCAATAGTAAGTGTAATTGCTATACTTAGGGATCTCCAATCAGAAGCCACCTTCTATTTTCTATTGTTCCTTAAATGTAGCTGCCAATTGAAATGGCCTCCATTCTATCCTTTCCTGCTGTTGAACACAGATTGTACCATTAAAGATATTCAATGAGTTTGGATGTTAACTCAAATACCTGCCCTAGTCATTCAGCTTTGCCACAGATTGACATAGCATTTTCTCTGCTGCCTTTCCTTCACTATCTGAAAAGACATTCAATCTCCATTCTTCATATAAAGAAGTCCAGTAGCCTGTCACCAAGCAAATGTAATATTATATCAATAACAACCCAATAAACACATAATGAACATTCAAATGTATGCACTGGGTTCAACGTTCTTACTAAACAATCCAGGCTCAAGCCATGTCATTTTGTGCAGAGGATCATGGCTTTGTGGTCTACTCCCAGATCCAGAAAAGAACTGTTTGAGAAGATGCTGTTTACAGAGCACATCATATCTTATTAATTTTCAATCAGCTTAATCCTTTGTGTTCAGATTGAAACATTATTCATGATATTCCTAAATTCAACTTGAATCTTACAAAGATCATTGGAGCTTAAAACTATTTTCCTCTTTCAATCAGAAATTGCATTATTATCTTTCAAACCTACTTTCCTCCTCTCGCCTAAACATACAAGTTGCATGTGGAGACTGATGACAGTCAATCACAGAGACAAGGGTGGTAAGGGGGTGTTAGTGTTAGTGACAAGTTATATATTATGAAGAATGAGAGTCACTGCGGGAAGGTTTTTGCCTGTGGTCTCTTAAAGAAGTATCCATTTCCAATATGCCATTCACCAGTTATCTCTGATTAAAGAAGAATATATTTCCTCCAAACTCCACCTGCTACTATGACAGCCTTTTATTTGATTTGACAACAGAATCACCTGTCTGAGTTTTCTGTTTCATATTTCGCATAATAAGTGAATTCCTGAGTTCTTCAAATGACAATTTGGGGTGGATGGTATTTGAGCAATCTAAATTTCTGTGTCACGCTTTCTTTACACTTTAGCTCCTCAAGGCATATTTTGCATTTTTTAACAGAAAAGAAATATGTTTTAGTTCCCCACATTTAGTATTCCTCAAACTGATTCTCAGTGAACTGCTTCCATGTTTTCTAAGGCTTCTTGTAAGGAGCTTTGAAACATCTGCACACAGAGGAATTGGATGGGAATCGTCAACAATGCTATCAGAAGCTTTTATTTTTACGATGAGTGTTTCTCAAGTCAGAAGGGAAAGAAAAACATATCTGTGGCTCATCATGATTATATCTTGCACTGTTTGATGGGCATTGAAACAATTTGGACAAGAAACAAACATACATAAAAGTGTATACATATACATGCACTCAAACACTCACAGAGGGAAGAGAGAGCAAGACCATTACTCAACCTGTTCAATCAATAAATACAGAAAAGCTTCTGGGAGCCAAGAATTGTGTAGAAAGGACTATGACTCAGTGTGAGACTTAGTTTGATACAGGTGTGTACATTTTTCTTTTGGGGAGGACAGAAGTTGTATCTTCTATTTTTCTTTTTCTAGGACCCACACTTCTAATTTATAAATTTTTATAGAGGGTCATTAGTACAAAGGGCTGACTGTTCATGTTTGAGCCTCCTATTTATCAATATTCATACCTCTAGAGGCAGAAACCAAAGCCCCCAGCCAATCAGCAACAGGAAGAATTACATCACACAGAGATGTTACGTGTTGATGCTTCTTACATCCTAAAATTTGGACCAGAGATTTGGAGCAGGACAATCAGTTAACATCAAGGCTGCTTTGCAGGCCTGTTCTTAAGGCACAAAATGTTTCAAAAAATCATTTTAAAGGTCACAACTGATCTATGAGAGAATAAGGAACATCCTTCAACTTAAGGTAAAGCTCAGACTCAAGTCACTAAACTACTAGAGGAGGTCAGTTTGCTTGAATAATAGGCTTACATGAGTCCCATTACAGATTTCATTTGATGAGATACCTTGGCCTTTGAGAAAAACTTCTCAGAGCCCTGTTTCAATGCTGACTTTCTGTGTAATAATATCTGCTGATCCAATGAGCTTTTCTTAGAAGCCCACATACACTGAGTTGCTCAGGACACTACAATTCTTATGGCTTACAATTCAAACCAGAAACTGACCTCTGTAGCCAACCACACAGGTCTCAGGCACAAACCTATTCACAGATAGGGAATCATTTTGAAGTGATCTGGGCTAAACACTTGAGGTCAAAACACCAAGAAAATCTCTTCTCTTCCAACCCAAAGGAGAAAAAGATACTTAGAAACTATCTAAAGTTTGAACTCCAAGGAGCAACACTACCATCATTTCTCATAATGAAGTAACATTATTAGCAAGGTCCATGGAAATTGAATACATTTAGATTCTTTGTTGGTGAAATTTGGCTGTCTTTGCACTAAATTATCTACCATTCCATGGACTGTCCTTGAGTACAAACATGGTCCTTGTCAGTTATGTCAAAGATTGTTCTTAGTGCTTGTCATGTTTCATGACTTCAAAAGAAGCTTAAGCCTTGTAGATTACCCAGACCTTTTAAGCAAATATGATTATAAATTCAGAGCATTCATTTCACACTGAGATGGACACAGCAGAACCAACCTGACCATAGGTTCTGGTGTGCTCAGTGTATCAACTAGACTGGCACAGCTACAACATTTGCTGCTCTGATAAGAGATAATAAATAATAGTGACAGGCTATAAATGCATAAATATAAAGAATGGACACAAGCACTGGCAAATATACAAACACACACTTATCACCCACCTGTATTTGGCATTACTAAGCGTCCCCCTAGATGGCCAAAAACACCAGTGGTCCTAAGCTCTGTCCTTGTGGGGAGTGATGACAGGTTTGGTATGTAGGGTGTTTTGTTTCTGGGATGCATCGTACTAAAGCCGCGGTTGTTTCCATGGGGAAAAGTCCCAGAGGGATTCTTGCCATGGTACTCAGCTCTCTCAGATACTCCAAGGGAAACCATGAATGAACTCTGGACTTTGACTTTGATGTCAGACAAAGGGTTGAAGAGTGAGGACTCCGTCATGAGTTCCTTGTCCAGTGGGTCCTGCAGACAGATAGGACCGCTGTATGTTCGGCTCACTGTCAAGTCTGGTTGCATGGCAGAATTCAGGAGAAGGGAGTTACCTGGTTACAAAATAGTAATAATAAAAAGAGGATCTGTCACTCAGAAACTAGAAGACTTCTCATTCCCCTTTTACAGCCGCTTTCACTGAATGGACAGTACACAAACTGCCTGCAGCCAGCTGCACCAGTCAAACCTGGCTTCCTAGACCCACCCTGAGCAGGTCCTTAGGGCTAGTCCTTAGTGACTGGCACACAGGGATCAGTTCTGGTTCTCCCCAGCAACTCAGTAAATGCCACAGGTCCAAATCCTTCTCTTTCTGAGCTATGTGCCTTCATTTGAAAACAACTATTTCTGGCACTGGGTCAAGCCACTAACTCAGGTATTGCTGTTTCTGTGATTATTTCAACTGGCAAAGACAAGCTTAAAAGAAAGGGGGAAAAAGGTGTTTTGTAATCCTGTTTGGAGTAAAAAAAAATCTGCTCATGTTAAGTGGCAAGAGATGACACAGCATGATGACTAGATAGTGCCATTTAACAATAACAACAACAACAACAACAACCATATTCCAGAACATACTTGGGGAATTCTGGACCGTTTCTGGAGTTGGAGAAGGAAATGACCTGTTCTCAGAGCAAATGGGATTTCATGAATAGCTCCATGGCTGAGTAGTCAATTTCCTTGAACATCACTCAGAACACCACTTGTCACTCAGGGGGGAAACCAACTCTACAGGGGGACAAAGAGTGACTCAGATTCTGTGTGGGGTACAGCCCACAATTGTGCCTTTTCTGTCACAAAACAAATGAAAAATAATCTGTACAAAAACATGAGAAATTAGACTTTGTCATCTGTTGGGGCTCACCATTTTTTTTCCCCAGCCAACAATTAATAATGTGCGATATTTTCTTGTGATGAAGTAATCTTGGTTATCAGTAAATAGCAAAATAACCCTCACTCCCAAACCACCCACCTAATATCAGTCCGTCAATGTGACATCTCAAGTTGAAACCTAAACCACATTAAATAATTTTCCTTTGAGGCCTGACGAGAATGTTTAAAGTATGACATTTTTGAAAATATTGCAGTTCTAGACCATATTGTATTAGCCTCTGTTGTTTTTTCCATTTTTGTAATTTGTAACAATGCCAGCAGGAAATCTATAACCCTGGATTTTCCATCTCTTGTTCAGATGCTCTAAGTCACTGAGAAAACACACAAACAAGATGAAATAATGTAGATCTAATGGCTCCTTAATGACGCTTCTTATATGTTTGTAGTGGCTGGGCCAAGATGTAGTCCCTATTCAAGTACCATGTAGTTTCTAAGAGAATCATTCTGAGAGCAATGAATTATGACCTGGCTTTTGTTTGTGGTCTTCCCAGTCAAGGAGTGAGATTGAAGAATATTCCACATCTGTTTAGGACAGAATTTCCTGGAGATCTCAAGAATCATATCTCTGAGTATCATGGCTAGTTCACGATTTTCCTTCTAAAGTTTAATGTAAAGGAAAATTATATGTGTGTGTGTGTGTGTGTGTGTGTGTGTGTGTGTGTGTGTGTGTGTGTGTGTGCTATTTCCTAGAGCCAGATAGCACAGACATAGAGAAGGCCTGTTTATAAAAATATTTACAAGGCTGCTGTGTAGCTCAATGATACAATGCTTGACTATCATGAATGAGGCAAGTACCAAGGTTTGACTCCCAGCATGCTCATATATATTAAACACACACACACACACACACACACACACACACACACACACACACACACACACACACACAGTATATTTATGAAGATGACAGAGTCCATAATTAAAGAATGTTGGCTACCAACCTGATTGAAGCCTGATAAGGGTCAGTTACTCATCGCTGGTCGCTTGCTTATCCCAGCCTACTCTGTGGAAATCTATTTCAGGTTTATGGTCTATTTTTAAGCATGACTGACTGTCTCTCTGTCTCTCTCTCACAATTGTCTTTTCTAGCAGGTTTATGTTTCCATATCAGCAGCCAACTGATGCTAACACTGAAATTTCCTGACCTGTTCAATAGGAGCTATGGACATACAATAAACAGAAATAGAGGAGACGGTATGGATGATGAGGGAAGAAGAAGAAAACTTCATCCTCTGAAGAGAGATGGTTTCATTTTTCTAAAATGAAGTATATCTCATCCCTACCTTGCACTCAGGAATAGATTTGGTTCATAGGAGAGAATTAAATGACTCTCTGCTTTGAAAATGAGTATTGCTGTACTTTGACATGATAGATTTTCCTTTCTTCACAACAAAAGATTGCTTGGACTTGGAACAGCTCAGAGTCATTTAGACTGGGATTTCATTTTTTTTTTCCTCCTGGCTAACTGACCCCATTCTATAACTTTTAAGGGGATTTTTTTTTTGGTACTTACATTAAATAGAAAAAAACAAAAAAATAGTGTAATAAATATACCTGGGTGTTGTGCTCTAGGACTTGGTCAACAGCTTTGAATAACCACTATTTTAATTACCTAAGTTTATATATATATACACATACATATATGTGTGTGTGTGTGTATATATATATATATATATATATATATATATATATTCTCAAGTTAGTCTTCTTAAAAGAGAAAGTAAGTTAAGATGAAGCAACTTCTTTAGCTCACTATATCTCAAGGATGGAACTGCCTCATTTAAAATCTTGCTAACTGGTGAAGTGAGACTCATTTGTCCTCACAGTAACCCAGGCCAGAGTCAGGGAAGCTTTTTTGCCTCTAGTGTCCTGATACATACGTACAAATAATTTGGTAGCGGCTCCCAGTGCCAACAGCTACCTTCACACAGGACTGAGGAGAATGAAGGGTCTCCTGTGTGAGTGTAGTCTTTGGTGCTGAGGATGAGGTGTTGGGGGACCTACGCCGCTGACCTTGACGGACTGTTTTGAAGTTGAAGGTCTGGAAGCCACCTGTCAATGCAGAAGAGTCGATGACGTCCACGCCATAGTCACTCTGGCTCCGTCTATAGAGGGTGACACCAACGACCAGGACTGCAACAGCCAAGACGGCAGCGCCCAAACCCGAGTACAAAGCAATGTCGCTGGCATTCTCAATGCCTGAAAGACACAAGAGAGATCCTAAGTGTCCAGCACAGGCACAGAGCCAAAGAGCCACCCCGGGAGACAAAATGAAATGCTATTGGATTTTTTCTGCTACTGCTCACAGAAGATGACATATGTAGCTCACCACAAGTTATATTCTCATTCGCACAATAATCATGTTTCTCAAATGCCTGGTATAAATCAAAGCAATGCTAGTCAAATATCTTAACTGCATTAAGGTAGCTTACCATGTAATAGACTCTTGCAGAGAATCAATTTTATAAAGAACATCATATTTTTCCAGTAAAAACAGGCAAGTCCTTAACTTATTTTAAGAAGTCATATTTACCTGCAATGTATTTTTATATTTTAGTATTATATGAGAGGGAGAAGACTCACACAAATGACAAAAACTGGGTGATGGCTCTACACATACAGGACCTGGGACACATGCATTTATGCAGAACAGTCTAGGGAAAGAATACAACACATGGTCAAATGAGTCAAGAAAGAGGAGGCCTGAGTTGACAAATATGAATTTGAGCTTTGACACCAATCATTTAGATTCAGAGAACACTAATAACCCCAGTTTAGGGTATATACAATCATTATGAGAGAATTTTTACTGTAAGATCTGAAGGTTTTGGTATTGGGGTGGAGAAGGGTCTAATGTTCATGGTAAATGTTTTCTGACACCAATTAAATGCTAGAGTCTAACACTTTGTGGTGGAAGAGGGTTGGTTTCTAAGAAGGTACATGCTGTTTCTCCCATACCTCTCCTACTCCATCCTATTGAATGCATGGGCAAAGCAAAAATAAAAGCGTTAGTTTGGATTTAAAATGTGCATGTCTTCCTTCCCATACCCCAAGATGTGCTGTAGCTGATTTTCCACTCTGTTCCACGTGTGTACTAGGTAAGGTTCATCCCAGAAACAGATCCATAACGATGGCTAAGACTCAGAATTGGAGATTTATCTGAGACAACACAATCCTAACAGAGGTGGAATCTCAAAGTGTGTGGAAATGGAAAATGGCAAGAGCTAACTGCATAATTAATCTTCAGATGGATTATGTGGTAAGTACACATAATGGGTTCAAAAGTAATTACGATGTCTCACCCTGTGTTGGACCAAAAGGATAAAATAAACCCATCGTATGTTTATCTTGTAATTGCATAACACTATGCATTCACCACACCCTCATATGGTACTTAGGTTTTCAAATGAGTAATACTAACCTCACAAGTAAAGTGAATTTATTTTCAACAAAGTTAGTGGACTGTAAAATAAGGTGCAAACAAATTAAAGAGTGAATAAGGAAATGAAGCAGAACCAGCTCAGTAATAGGGCAGTAAACACATGAAAATAATATACGAAAGAGAGCACAACCATCAGGAAGAATTGTAGCCGAAAGGTCAAAGGTTTAGCAGACACAGTGTGAGGTTTTTCTCTGTATTTTTCAGCAGAGTGCTGAGAAAGAGGGTGAAACTTTGACCTTAGTTCCAATTTCCTGATGGTCCAAATGAAGGAGTGACGGCGATGAGGCCCAATGTGCTGACCACCCAGAACCACGGGCATGGTGACTGACACTTATCTCAAGAGCACCTCTATCTGCCTACAGCATTTGAAAGGAGAAGAGCAGCCATCAATCTACTTACCTTTATCTCCCTCTGTCTACCCCATGGAGCTTCTTGAGAATAATGCTAACCAGAGCAAAAAGAAGGCACAAAACCCAACAGATGTATCAGACCAGGACACCCGGCACAGTCCAGGGAATTTTGGATCAAGCCCAATTAGTCCATTTCTTTACTCCACCCCAGCTCCTTGGGCACCACTGACTGATGACACTACCGCCTGTAAAGGTCTATCTAGGGAGCACACACCTGCTTGGCAAATGAGCACATTCAGAGAAATAGCTAGGCAATGCACTGAAGGCAGCTGCTCTACAGCTGAGCTGGCAAAGCAGAGACAAAGACATTCCTCGCCTCCCAGAACTAAAACATCCAAGCCTAGAAGCTATGAGGACAACCAAGGCAAAATTCCTGAGCTCAAAACAGGTATCACTAGGCAGGGACACAACATATTTCACCTTGTGTCCACTATCCTGCTAGTCACATAACCAGATTCTCACCTCTCTCCAATCCAATATAATGCCTGATTTTAGAAAAGGACTTCCCATGTGTCCTCAGGTCAAGGTATGAACATTTGCTATGGCTCACTGGGTTTCCCCCTCTCCCCCAGGAAAATGTGCAGAATCTACTTGTCTGAAGGTGATGAAGGATCAAATTATAATTTTTTAAAATGGGAGAAAGGATGTTAGGGATAGGGTTGGAGACAATGGATAAAGCTAGGAGGCACTGGAGAAAGGTTCCTACAAAGATAGGGTGCTTAATCTGCCTGGAAATTCCAAACTTCAGTGTATAATACTTTTATTGATCTAACAAACATTTTTGAAGGCCCCCATGCAACTGAAATGAGGATGCATAGATGAATGCACACAGTGTCTACTTATTGCTTGCCTAAAATACAGACAGTGAGAAGATCCTGACATATCAGGGATAACTCAAAGTATATAAAGTAATCAGAGTCACATTTTGTATCTCAAGGAATTTAATCAGAAATCCTTACCCTTATCCTACCTCAAATTCTTCTAAAGTTGAATTACTGTGCTTCTTTCTTCTTTCTCTTCTTTTTTCTTTCTTCTTTTCTCTATCTACTTTCTTGTCCTTCACCTCATTCTTTTTTTTTCCCCCTCTGTTCCTCTCTGCCCAATGATTTCCAATCTTTCTTTCCAAGGACATGGACTGGTTTACCCTCTAAAGATTTCTTGTGTGTTCCTAAAGGTTGCAGTGGACCTTGTGTGTTTAGACTGGCCCCACAAAGAGCTGAGCCTTACTTGTACCTTTTCTATGCAGGCTTCACAGGAGAAGGAGGAAGCCATGTGCATGTGTCTGTGAGCACAGGCACACTTGGAGGTACAGAATCATCACATGCATATGTGGGCATTCAACCACTCAAGCTCACACTCATGTCCAAAGAATATCAAACCGGATAGAGAAAACTGTGCCACACAACACAGAGACTGACTAGGGCTGAAAACTACTCATGGACCCATCGCAAATTCAGTTGCCAGCTGTCCCACCAATTGTTGCCCTGTGTATTGTTCAGAGGATTGCACCCCTCAATCTTGAAAGTCATATACAACCCACCTATCTATAACACCCACCTGTCAGATGTCTCTCTACCCTATGCCGACTCTTTGCTACAAAGTCTGTTAATGTTGCAAACAAGTTCTGTAGCACTCCTAAGGTTTGAGATTCCTATGACTCACACCTTCCATTGTTAGTAATCTGAAGGACAGTAAGTTGTTTTATTTTCCTTAACTGGTTTAAGCCCTTTACAAGAAATGATACCTCTATAATTTCCCATGGAACCTTGGAAACCATTGTGCACAACTCTTTATAGACCTCAAACTTTGATCAGTGATGTATGAAAGAAATCACAGTCAGGTTGATTTTTGAACTGTTGCTGTTGAACTGTTGCTGCAAAGACTCTCTTCATTTCCATTTACACACATATGTAAAGAATTCTGTTTTCTCAAATATTCACAGTGTTGTTGGTTTGTTTTCTCACAGTGGTTCTGAAACAGAATTCATGACTATAACAGGGGATTATGCTTTTCTTGTGGATACAGGATCCTTTTCCAACTTCGTTTTGTAAGTGAAGTTTGTAAAATACTGTCATCTTCCTTGTTCCCTTAATGTCTCTTTTCCTCTATCCAAGAGTCACAAAAGTTCTAGGCAAAGCATGGAAAACTTAAACATGTCAAAGAAAAAAATGCATTGCATACAATCTAAGCTACATACAATCCCAAACAAAAAAAATAACCAAACAAATTGATGTAGGAACCAGTTGTGTTGCAAATTCATCAGAAAGAACTTAAGAATGTATTCAATGCTTGAGGGAGCAGAACATCTTAAGAGAGAGGTTGCAAAAACGAGTAGAGCTGGAAAGTAGGACCCTGGAGAAGTATTTAAGGGTTTATCTGGCCTGGAATAGGATGGCTATGAAGTGACTTCTACTGGTGGGAATGCAGAAAGAGTTGGTATAAGAAAAGATTAGACCCACAGTAGACAGTCAATGACTGCTCATTTATGATGAAGCTAGTTACAAATTATTCTGCTATTTCTAACAAGGATCAGAAAAGGAATGCATGACCATTTATTATAGCAACTGCAACACTGGTTAGGTAGTAAAATGACCTTTACTACAATGAGAATTGTAACAAAAACCACTTGTATTTCTGAGGGTAATTATGATATCTCCTTTCAAAAAGTCTCTAAAATCTTGAATGACTTTATGATGGCCTGTAATTATTTTGTTTTAGATTTTTTTTGTTGTTGTTGTTGTTAGCTGGTAAGAAGGATTAAATCATCTTTCAAAGCCACTCTGAATTTCATAGTTCTAGAACTAGGTACTAATCAAATTTGATGGCTTTATGAATTATAACCATCCCCAGTCATTTATTTATTTATTTTTAATTTTTTTTTGGTCCAGTCGTGGGGCCTGAACTTTGGGCCTGGGTGCTGTCCCTCAGCTCTTTAGCTCAAGGCTAGCGCTCTACCACTTGAGCCACAGTGCCACTTCCGACTTTTTTCTTTTTGCTTATGTGGTGCTGAGGAATCGAACCCAGGGCCTCATGCATGCAAGGCAAGCACTCTACCACTGAGCCACCTTCCCAGCCCCCCCCCCCCCCCAGTAATTTATAGTGACCAATGTCCCCAAAGGACTCTAGCAAAAGGCTGTTCACTTGATTTGCCATATTCTTCTTTCCTAAGTCCCTGGTGAAAGACATATTGAAGCCTCAATCCCCATATTAGGAACATATATCAGACTGGAGTCAAATTTGCAAAATCTCCAGCTACTGAGAATTAACAAAGGAACATAGAAGCACCTTTCCAAACATGGTGGTAGTATTTTTTTAAAACCGTTATGAACTCCTATTAGATATTATAGAATGCCATTGTTCCCACTGCAGAACAAAAGGCAAGAACAATTGAATGGAGACAGTATGAGAGACAGTGAAGGACTATGGGATCCCCATGATGAATATGCATAAAGACCTGTGAATGGCAACAGGTAGAAGACTGAAAAGCCAACCACTGAGTTGGAATCCCACAGAAAACCAACCAACAGCCATCCCAGGGAGCAATGCCCCAGCATGGACAGTGATGCTGACAGGAAGTGGCCCACTAAAGCACTTCATTGTGTGCTGAAATATGATAGAGCAGATGTTACTGTTAGGGATGTTCATCAGGAAGGAATTTTTAAATTATCAGCATGGACAATTGTGGTAACCAGTTCCAATATTATTATAATCCTTCAAATTTTCTAACCCCCCTTGGTCACCAATCAATAAATCTTTCCTTCCAATTTTTCCATCTTTGCAATTGTACAGTTTTTTTTATTATTTATTTTTGCTATTGTGCAGTTGTTTTATTGTTTTAATTAATGACAACTGCCAGGTCTGACATCATTGTTTACTATATATTTTGACTCACTAAATCCATTTACTCTTTCAAACAAAATGCTTCCTCATTTGAATGTATAAACCAAGAAAAGAAAATACCTTCCCTTCCCCAAAGACTCATTAAGGTTAAATAGTAGAGGTAAAAAAAAAAATCCCAAGTGGACTATCTGCAGAATCAATGTTCCTGGTTAACCCCATCCAGCTGTTAACCACAGCTTTCCTCACTATCCCCCTAATTACCTCTCAGTATGCAATGTAAT